CCTCCTCCCTTCTGACCGCGAGTCAGGCAGACGCCCGCCCCCTCTCCCTCAGACCCAGAGGTCCAGTCCCAGGCCCTCCTCCCTCAGACCAGGTTCCAGGGCCCCGGCCCTCCTCCTCAGATCCCAGGAGGTTCGATCACCAGCCCCCTCCTCCCTCAGACCCCAGGAGGTCCAGGCCCCCGGCCCCCTCCTCCCTCAGAACCAAAGAGTCCAGGCCCCAGTCCCCTCCTTCCTGGACCCAGAGTTGACAACCTCCATCGACTTCCCCTCAACTTTGAGACTGAGGAGTCAGGTCCCACAAGTCCACCCCAGGGCTGGAAACCTGGAGTTCAGGGCCCAGACTTTGGGGTCCGGGAGCTGACGGCCGTCTCTCCCGGCTCCGCCCGCAGACTCTAGCTCCTCCGACTACACTCGGGAACCTTGTTCCGCCTGGCGCCTGGCCGGGTCTGGTCCTCATCTCCCTGGGCGCACTGGTCACTTTGGACTGGGCGCAGGCCAGAGCCGCGGGTCGCTCGCTGGTGTCCCGCCCTTGCAGCCCCAGGGGCACTGCAACGCCGGAGAAGACTTCCAACCTGAAGTGGTGGAGAGGCTGGGGACCCGTGGGCTGGACTGTCCTTTTCTGCAGCCCCGCAGCCTGCTGGCTGAGCCCGAGGAACTGCCCTTTGACACCCCTGTGCCCCTGTGCTGGGGCTTCTTTCCGGGCCTTTCCAAGGAGTAGCTGAGTGGAGAAGCGCAATCAGTGGTTAAGACTTCCAAGCCAGAAGACAGAGGGTTCGGATCCCAGCGCTGCCGTCTACTCACTGTGGTAGTAGTAGCAGCTACAGAGACGGTAGCAGTGTAGAGGGGAAAGCCAGCTGGAGCCTCCTGGGTCGAGTGGAAGCTGGAAAACTTCTTCGTCTTACAGAGGATTGTAAAATGGAACAATCAGCGCTCCTGTAAAGTGGACCAACTCAGCAGGACATGGGCGGGGACAAATAAGGGAATAAAACTAGCCAGCAGCGGCAACCCTGCTTGGGTCCCCTTCCAGGCTGTGGAAGCTGTGTTCTCTTGCTCTTCACAATAAATTTTGCTGCCTCGCTCACTCTTGGGTCCATGCCATCTTTAAGAGCTGTGACACTCACCGGGAAAGTCTGCGGCTGCATTCTTGATGTCAGCCAGACCAACAACCCAACTGAAGGCAACAGCTGCCCGGAGGCGGCGTGGCAGCATTGAGAAAGGCCCTTTTCCCAACTCTCTCTCGCCCTGGACGGTGAAATGGATGCACTGATAAAAACCCATTTCAATTAGGACTTGTTGGTTAGGCATTCAGTGGGCAATAATGATAAAACATTTAACAAACAGTTAACTGGCCCGTAGCTAAGTGCCTCCACATGAATGTGAGCTACCCCTATTACAACCGATTTCTAGCCAGCACTCATTGCCGAAAAGAAGGTCTCACCGTGTTTTTCCACAAAGCACTAATCAAGCACAATTTTTTTTTTTTCTTCTCTTTTTTTGACAAGAAGCATCTCAAAACTCCACTCCATCCAAGGCTGGAGGTGCACCGCTGGCGCCGATCTCGGTTCCACTGCAACCTCCCACCTCCGGGTTCAAGTGATTCTTGTGCCTCAGCCTCCTGAGTAAGCTGGGATTACAGGTGTGCCTCCACCACACCCACGTAAGTTTTGCATTTTTTTTTTTTTTTTGAGACGGAGTCTTGCTCTGTCGCCCAGGCTGGAGTGCTGTGGCCGGATCTCGGCTCACTGCAAGCTCCGCCTCCCTGGTTCACGCCATTCTCCTGCCTCAGCCTCCCGAGTAGCTGGGACTACAGGCGCCCGCCACCTCGCCTGGCTATTTTTTTGTATTTTTTAGTAGACACGGGGTTTCACCGTGTTCGCCAGGATGGTCTCCATCTCCTGACCTCGTGATCCGCCCGTCTGGGCCTCCCAAAGTGCTGGGATTACAGGCTTGAGCCACTGCGCCCGGCCTAAGTTTTGTATTTTTAATAGAGATGGAGTTTAGGCATATTGGCCAGGGTTGTTTCAAACTCCTGACCTCAAGTGATCCACCGGCCTCGGTCTCCCAAAGTGCTGGGATTACAGGCCTGAGCCACCGCGCCCCTTCACTTTGCCTTTCCTTGCCTTGACTGGGCCTTACTCTTTTGCCCAGGCTAGATTGCAGTGGCATGATCACGGCTCGCTGCTGCATCGACCTCCCAGGCTTAAGTGGTCTCCCCACCTCAGCCTCCCAAGTAGCTAGAACCACAGGTGCAGGCCACCATACCTGGCTGATTTAGTAGTAGTAGTAGTAGTAGTAGTAGTAGTAGTAGTAGTAGTAGTAGCAGCAGCAGCAGCAGCAGCAGCAGCAGCAGCAGCAGCAGCAGCAGCAGTAGAGGTCTCTCTGTGTTGGCCAGGCTGACTTCCAACTCCTGAGGTCAAATGATCCTCCTGCCTCCGCCTCCTGAAGTGTGGGGATTATAGGCATGAGCCATCCAGACAGGTTCATTTCCCCTTTTCTTGACTTGTGCCCTAATTTTGGTGGAGCACACACCTTCTTCTATTTGTATTGTTTTTCAACTTCCCCTTCCCCTTTTCCCACTTTATGGAGAAGACAGTGACTTCTAATGCTTGGACAGCCCAGCTGTACCATGCTGGGCAAACTGGAGCAGTGTACAGACCCTTCTGAGTTTCCATCCAAGAAAGGGAAAACCACAAATATCTACCTTGTCCGTTCTAGAGAGGAACCAAGCAACTTGTCCCCAACACAGGAAGAAAAATTAGACAACCTTAGATCAGCGGCTATAACTCTTCTGACCCCAACCCCTTTTTGTTTTTTGTTATTTTTGAGATGGAGTTTCCCTCTTTCTCCCAGGCTGGAGTGCAGTGGCACGATCTTGGCTCACTGCAACCTCTGCCTCCTGGGTTCAAGGATTCTCCTGCCTCAGCCTCCCCAAGCAGCTGGGATTACAGGCGCCTGCCACCACACCTGGCTAATTTTTTGTATTTTTAGTAGAGATGGGGTTTCACCATGCGGGCCAGGCTGGTCTGGAACTCCTAATCTCAAGTGATCTGCCAGCCTCTGCCTCCCAAAGTGCTGAGACTACAGGTGTGAGCCACTGCGCCTAGCCTGAAGCAATATTCACTTCTATGTGGATGCACATTGATATATTTTATCTTATTAAAAATGCTTGTCTTGGCCGGGCGTGGTGGCTCAAGCCTGTAATCCCAGCACTTTTGGGAGGCCGAGACGGGCAGATCACGAGGTCAGGAGATCGAGACCATCCTGGCTAACACGGTGAAACCTTGTCTCTACTAAAAAATACAAAAAATTAGCCGGGCGACGTGGCGGGCACCTGTAGTCCCAGCTACTCGGGAGGCTGAGGCAGGAGAATGGCATAAACCCAGGAGGCGGAGCTTGCAGTGAGCTGAGATCCGGCCACTGCATTCCAGCCTGGACGACAGAGTGAGACTCCGTCTCAAAAAAAAAAAAAAAAAAATCTCCCAAAGAGACAAGTCAGATTAGCCTAAACCCAGGAATAACTACAGGCAGCTTGAGGGTCAAAGGCAAGGTAGGGGCTGGCCAGATCCGATCTCCTTCACTGCCATTGTTTTCTCACTCTCATAGTTTTTGCAAAGGAGGTTTCAATTGCATGGTTGCCAGCTAACATCCTATTCATCCATTCCTTGCTTTCTACCAGTAAAATTGAACTTTATAGGCCTGCTTTGTGCTTTTAAGGCTAACTAGCAAAATTCCAGAGTTTAGCCTTAAAAATTATTTATAATTGGCCAGGTGTGGTGGCTCACGCCTGTAATACTAGCACTTTGGGAGGCTGAGGTGGGCAGATCATGAGGTCAGGAGATCAAGACCATCCTGGCTAACATGGTGAGAAACCCCATCGCTACTGAAAATACAAAGAAACAAACAAAAAAAGCCAGGGGTAGTGGCACACATCTGTAGTCCCAGCTACTCGGGAGGCTGAGGCAGGAGAATCACTTGAACCCGGGAGGTAGAGGTTGCAGTGAGCTGAGATTTTGCCGTTGCACTCCAGCCTGGGTGACAGAGGGAGACTCCATCTAAAAAAAAAAAAAAAAAAAAAAAAAAAATTCTTTATAATTAATCAAAAGAAGTTTAAGAAATGGATTAAGAAGATCTCTTCTTTGCAGCTGCAGGGGAGAAAAGGGAGCTAGAGAGAGAGAGAGGATTGAGAGAGGAGAAAAAGATATTCCGTGCCGTAAAACTAATTCAAGAATGTAGTTTAGGCCAGGCATGGTGGTTCACACCTGTAATCCCAGAATTTTGGGAGGCTGAGGTGGGCGGATCACTTGAGCTCAGAAGTTTGCGACCAGCCTGGCCAACATGGTGAAATGTTGTCTCTACTAAAAATACAAAAATTAACCAGGCATAGTGGCACAACCCTGTAATTCCAGGTACTTGAGGGGGCTGGGGCAGGAGAATCACTTGAACCCAGGAGGCAGAGGTTGCAGTGAGTCGAGATCACACCACTGCACTCCAGCCTGGGTGACAGAGTGAGATTGTCTTAAAAAAACAAAAACAAAAACAAAAACAAAAACAAAAAAACACAGTGGGGGGGGGTGGCTGGGGGAGGGATAGCATTAGGAGAAATACCTAATGTAAATGATAAGTTGATGGATGCAGCAAACCAGCATGGCACATATATCAAACCTGCACGTTGTACACATGTACACTAGAACTTAAAGTAAAACAAACAAACAGAATGTGGTTTGATAAGGTAATAAACTGAGAATATTCAAAAGGCTCTAAATCTGTGTTATAGTCTTGTGTAGTATGGAGATCTATGGATATTTATTACAGCAGCCAGTGTTCCATTCTCTGGTTGCATAAATCTGTCCTTTGAAGTGTAATTTGCACAAAATAACCTTGTAGGAGTCTGAAGACATTAGAAATTATTGCCAGTATTGCAATCATTATTATGAAGGAGAAACCTTGGTGCCATTGGTGGTCTTACTTAATATTTTGTTGCCCTAGTAACAATCTTATGACTGACATCTGAATTTCCAAGTAGAATAAATGCTTGTAAAACCGATTCTGTTAAATGAGAAGCTGTGCATTGGTGTGTGTGTCTTAGTCCGTATTCCGTTGCTTAGAACAGAACACTTGAAATATTGTAAAGAAAAGGAATTTATTTCCTGTAGTTGTGGAGGTTGGGAAGTCCAAGGTGGAGGGGCTGCATCTGGTGAGGGCCTTCTTGCTGTTGGGGCAAGAAGACTCGGGACTCTCTGGAGGGTCCCGAGGTGGCACGGGGCATCACAGGGCAAAGGAGCTGAGCGTGCTACTCAAGTCTCTCTTCCTCTTCTGATAAAGCCACCAGTCTCACTCCCAGGGTAACCCATTAATCCATTAACTCACTAATCCATTAATCCATGAATGGATTAGTTCATTCATGAGAAAAGAGTCCTCATGACCCAATCACCTCTTAAAGTCCCCACCTCTCAATACTGCCACATTGGGGATTCAATTTCACCATAAGTTCATTTATTTATGTATTTTTTGAGACAACATCTTGCTATGTCACCCAGGCTGGAGAGCAGTGGCATGATCTCAGCTCACTGTAACCTCCACCTCCCAGGTTCAAGTGATTTTCCTGCCTCAGCCTCCTGAGTAGTTCGTATTACAGGCACGTGCCACCATGCCCGGGTAATTTTTGTGTTTTTAGTAGAGACGGGGTTCCATCATGTTGGCCGGTTGGTCTCAAACTTC